TCTTCATGTGCACAGATAGATATATTTCACAATCTCTTTTGAAGTTAGGGATGGCTGTATACTGAGATGTCTCCAATGTAGCAGAAGCTGCAGTGGCTGAGGCGCTGTTCTTCCAGGCCATGCCTGGAGCAGTCCTTGCAGGATCCTCCATGCCCTTTCTCCTCCTGCCAGCTTAATACAGATGAGGGTAATGATCATAAAAAATGAAAAGGTGGAACTGCCAAATAGAAAGAGCCTAGACCCCTGAACCATATCTTGGAGGAGAAAGTCTCAACTGGTAGGAAACATTCATTTAACTGCTGCTGCTTTTCTTCAACTCTGTCTTCCAAATCTTGCACAAATGCCTCTCTCTGGCAGATGCTACACCTGGAACTTGCTGGCAAGAGAGACCGGAAAATATAGTTTTCAGGCTTCTAGCCTCTGTGATATATGGAAGACATTAGAAACATTGGGATTTTCCAAGGTATTAACAGAAAATAGATGCCAGAGGTAATTTTTTTCCTCAAGTTACAGGCTCCATAGAAAAACAATTAGGAAGTATGTAATTTAATTAGTTACCAAGGAAATCCTTCCTATTTATTGAGTCAGATATAATATATCACCATCTCCACTGCTATCACCCTAATCCTAGCAAATATCATCTCTAACTCAGACTACTAAAATCGCCTCCTGTTTCTTCTGTAACTATATTTGTACTTGCGTAGTCTTTTCCCCTTGATGACAACAGACAGTGGATTTTGTATTCAAACGTGTCATTCCTTTGTTCAGAACCTTCCAATCACTTCCCACCTCATTTAGAATAAGATTCAAAGTCCTACCTGGCCTGCAAGGCACTAATGATCTGTATCCCTGCCCTTATCTGTCTTTATTTCTAATCACTTTTTCTCTTTCTCACTCATCTGCATTTACATTGACCTAATGGATGGTTTCACAAAATACAAAAGGCATACTCCCACTTCTGGGAACTTGATGTTCCCTTTGCCGGAACTATGATTTCCCTAGATACATAGTATGTTTTATCACTGTATTTGACTGATGAAATATTACCTTATCAGTGAAGCCTTTCCTAACTAAAGTTTGAAAAAGCACTCCTTCCATCATTGTCCCATTATTTTCATTTTTTTCTTATCATTTTTATTACCTCTGGTACCTACTTTCTGTCAATTTATTTAGTATTACCTGAGATATATACACGTATACATGTATGGTATGTAAATGTATATTGTGGACTTTAACCCCATCCAAAAAGAGGTCTCTCCCCTTTGGGGGAGGTTGCCTCTAAGCCCCCAAAACATGTCGCTTTATAAGAGTCTGGGGCCGTAGATCAGCCAAATAGTAACAGTGTGATTTAGGGTAGGGGCTTTGTGTCATTCCTTATCAACTTGACTTCTTCAGGAGCTGGATATCAGTCATGTGAGCAGTGAACCTTGCTTACCCGTACTTCTACCATGATGGAGTCTCAACAAAGACTATGAACACCAAGATTCAAATGAGCTTTCCTTCTTGGCAATACTCCTTGTATGTTGTCTTACATTGATGTCTGGGAAAGTAATGCTGTCCATGACTCCATGGGGAGCAGACAACAGAGGCTCCACATTTAGACCTTGTCTGAATTCTGTTGTATGTGCTTCTCCTCTTGGCTGATTTTAATCTATATCCTTTACCTGTAATGCACTATAACTGTGACAATACAGCTTTCTGTAAGTCCTGTGGGTCCTTCTAGGGAATTATGAAAACTGATAGTGGTTTGGGAGATATCCTAAACTTGCAGTTGGTGTCAGAAGTGAGGGAAGACTGTGTTCTCTAAATTTGCAGTTTGCTCAAACTCATTTATGTGTGTGTATGTGTTTTGATTTTGTTCACAGTCATAATCCTAAGTACCTAGAATAATTTCTAGCATATAGTAGGCATTCATTAAATGTTATAATGAATAAATTAATGAAAGTAGCTGAATAGAATAAGAAACTAAGAGAAAATCTAATGAAATCCAATACTAAAGAACCATATTGAGAAAAGCTTCCAAGTAATGTATAACCAAATGATTTTTATTATATTCTGAATAATGCTATGGTCTTCAAAATGGTTACCTCTTTCAGTCACAACTCTTTGGGATTATACATGTGTTTATATTAACTGGGAGTCATAGATATTATGTCTTTTCAGTTTGTAGGAGTCACCACCAGATGGTGATATTTTTATTAGATAATAAGTAATTTTTGTCTTCAGATTCATCAGTTTATAGAGAAATCAACTATATGAAATATAGTACTTACTACTAATAAAATATAACAGGGTAAGCTATTTAAATATAGCACAAGATTTCTATAAGGGTATTTCCTATACCAGAAACACATTTTTATAATCATAATCCATTTAAAGAGTAAATACACTTTATACTGATGTCGCTTACTTACCCTTACTCTTTCTAAACGAGGATTGGGAGGAGCCATTCATGCTTAGTCATAGCCCCTATAGATTTTTCTTATAGCTTCAACTGCAATTGGCTTGGCTGACAACGACGACACAACAACAACGCGGGGCTCGATCCCAGGACCCTGACCTGAGCCGAAGGCAGATGCTTAACCGACTGAGCCACCCAGGCGTCCCTAATACAGCAGAACTTTTAAGTGTATCCAGTGTATAGTTGATTCAATAGCCAAGAGAAACTAAGTGGAAGTATCCTAGTTTTTTTGTTTTGTTTTGTTTTTTTTATTTTTCCAGTTCTCCCAGCATAGGCCCAAGTCCAGTGAAAAGAAAATAGTACATGAGAGGGAAAAAGGAGTATTACTGTCTTCCAGTCCAGTTCTTGTGCTCTCTAAATCTTGATTTACATCATCTTCTCCTATGCATTAAAGAGCTGTGCCAGTTATAAAGGATTTATTTCTATTGAAATCTCTATTATTTTCTTTAGTTTTATTATGTTTCTGTTTCTAATTTCCTTGCAGTCAAAGATTATACTTTAAAGCAACAAAATCACCTTTCTCTTTCATAAAATTATACATGTAAATTTAATATATCAAAGCTTACCTTTTACAAAGCATTATTAGAATATTCAACTTTTGCTTTTATAACAGGCATTCAATGCCATTAATTTATAGTATTTGATTGATCAGGCCATTTGTCATTATGTTAAAATAGCCTTCCATTTTGGGGCACCTGGGTGGCTCAGTCTGTTAAGGAGCTGGCTCTTGATTTCAGCTCAGGTCATGATCTTAGGGTCTTGGGATTGAGCCCAGTTTACAGCAGAGTATTGGGCTCTGCGCTCAGTAGGGAGTCTCCTTCAGGATTCTCTCTCTCCCTCTACCCGTCCCCCCACTCTCTCTCTCTTTCTAAAATTAATAAATAATCTTTTAAAGAAATAAAATAGACCTCAATTTTAGGGATATATAAAAAGTCTTTTTAAATAAAATATATTTATAATGATAACATATTTGAATTTGAATTTATATGTTATGTATTATTTGAGGCCTGCTTTACAAACTTTACTAATGGCATTACCTTTGTTTCCCAAGCTTAGAAGAGGAGATATTGAGAGATTAAATGAGAGATAAAGTCCATTGAGATAATTACTTTGAAAATGAGTTCTTGATGGCAAAAAAAAAAAACTGAAGATGAAACAATCTGAAAGCCCATATCAAGTAATTTAGAATTCTGATTCAGTATAATAAAATAGAAACCAAAATAAATCATTTAAAAAAATAATTCACTCAGTCTGTAAATAGTAAATAAGATATGTGAGTGAGGTGTGGTGGTGCACAAAGTCAAATACCACGTAAAATGTCAACTCAATAACTTTGGAAAATAAACATTTAAGTAATACATTTAATGTATGTTTAAAGAAAGATCAGAATAAAGCATTTTGAAGTAAAATCACTTTATAATTTTTGAAATATACATTACTGATACTCTGACAAGGTGATTCCTGCATTTTTGCAATGTAACACATTTTAAAATTAGTGTTGAAATGTATACCTTACACTCATTTAATAAAATATATTGAATTTGCTTGAGCTATACATACCTATGAGAAAAAAACTAATAAGCACCTAAAATTAGAACAATATTTTTACTAAAATTTTCTATACTTCAAGAATGCCTAAGAAAGTTTGCCAAGGGGCACCTGGGTGGCTCAGTCATTAAGCATCTGCCTTTGGCTCAGGTCATGATCCTAGGGTCCTGGGATCAAGTCCCGCATCGGGCTCCCTGCTCGGCAGGAAGCCTGCTTCTCCCTCTCTCCCTCCCTCTGCTTGTGTTCCTACTCTCTCTCTCTCTCTCTGTCAAGTAAATAAATAAAATCTTAAAAAAAAAAAGAAAAAAAGTTTGCCAAATCTGCAGCTTTAGAAACATACTTTTATTTTTTTACTTAGTGGATTTTCCTCTGCTTTACCCAAAACTTTGTTATCTAATTGAACATACCTCACAGAACTTAATTTGGAAGTGCTTTTCCCCAATTTCCATTCAAATAAAACAATTCTAGAAATGATAATGTGTACATTTAAAACATTTCCAATAATGTTTGAGTTATGGATTACTAATTCACTTGTAACACAATATTTTGTTTCAAGGGAAGTCTTGACATAATGAAAAGATGAAAGGAGAATACTTACATTTAAGAGAGAAAGGAAGAAGAACATTTAGTAAGCAATTTGTACTTTACAGAAATGAAGGAAACAACTATTTACAGACTATGGGCATGCATGTTTCAAAGTCGGAAGCTAGCTAGTTTGCCATTTTACATGAAAATATATTTCCTAGACATGGATGTAAAGCTAAAGCAGTAACCGTGATAAGCTTGTCTTGCTAGGCACATGTAGGCAAGTCTCTTTAAATACAACTCACAGTTTTTCTACATTTCTTCCATTCCCAAAATATCTTCTTCCCCTTACGATAAAGGCCAGCGTTATGTGTTGAAACATGAGATGTGAACAAAATATTCATTGAATTTATGAGGGTGACCAACAGGCAAAAACATTAGTAAATGAGGCTGATATTTAATCTAGAAAACAGCTTTAGGAATCAGATAAGAAACGAATCTTTTAATTACCACAGTGTGTGATCTACAGGTAATACATCAAAAGCACTTAAGTGTTTATGCTAGTTCCAGCTGCTTGCCCTAAAAACAGTTAACTACTAAATCTGTAATGCTTATGTAAACCAACAAGTAAGGAAATCAAATAGCCTCAGAACCAAATTGTTAGTTTAGCAGTTTGAACTTGCAGACCCATTCTTGCCTTATTAGACCAAATGATCACTAGTTACCCTTGCTTTCTTCCTCTCTTTTTCTATAAGCTTTGTTTAACAACTGGATTTCCTCCTGGTAGCCATCCTTTTCTTGATGCTGCCTTTTACTGTTCTGCCTGTGTGCTTCAACAGTGTCCGGAATGGAGATGTTGATATCACCATCGGGATTACTCGTGGGTAAAAAGAGAGAGTATGAGGCTGTTTCCCCTAAATCACAAGAAACAAATCTGTTTTCTTTCCGTGAGTAGCGTAGGGATGGAGATCTGACCTGTGTAGAGGACTGGCTGATGTTGCTAATGATTGACACAGTGTCCAAGGCTTCTTCATTATCACAAATTTCAAGAACTTCCAAGTGTATTTTCACACTGGTGTCCACAAATGTAGAGGGAGAATCTTCTGAGTTCGGTTCATGGCCAACGCTTTTGGATCGATAGACTTCTATTTTCTTAGAGGCTGGGGTTATTTTTTGTCCTTCTGCACTTACCTCATAAGTAGAAAGAGATAGGGTTTTCCCCGTCGGTGCTTGGAGAGACACGGTCCCCTGGAATGCACACAAGGGAATGGCAAGGGCACCACCAGAACGCTGGGGACGAAAACAAAATTATTATTATTGAAAACTAGTTTCTGAAATTAGGACATTTAGAAATTCACTCTACTCATCAATATGGTAGAGTTTCTTCTATTTCAGACCCATTTCCCTAGAAACCTTTATCAATGGGATTTAAATTCTGCCATCAAAGCACTATAGCTCAGTTTCTCCCAGGTCAAATATAACATCTAAATGAGGACAATCAGGAACCTTTTTTTGAAAAAAGAGGACATATTCCCATAGTTTAAGGCAAAGTTTGTGTACTGATGGGGGCAGCAGTAGATGCTTCCAAAGGCAGAATATGGGCATAAAATCGAATGCATATTTATACTCTGGAATTGCTTTTATAGTTTTGTTACATTAAAAAGTTTGCATAGGTTGAAAGAAATGCAGACTGTGTTATCAAAATGCACTTTTTTTCCTGTTTAGTATGTCACAGAGAATGAATTGTGAAACTATGATTCAGATTAAGTATAAAGTATATTTCAGCTGTGAGGTTTGAGCATTCAGAAGAGGAACCAAATGTCGCCAGAACGGTGCTACACTGCTTACTTTTCCACGGAGAAATCACAGTCATTAAAGTAAATCCAATAATAGAGAACTCCCCCACATCTCTGCAAAAACTTTCTTGAAGGTTAGAACCTTTTATATTTTATTTAAAACTTCGTATGTTAAGATTTTTTAAAATCTGTACTCACCACTGATAAGCGCTTAAGAAATGAAAGAAAACAGACTAAATCTTATTATAGCCTGTATTTTATATTACTGATTCATATTTTCATACTTCCAGTTGACTTGTTTTCTTTTTTGATTACATGTTAGTCTCAGAAGATACCAAACTTCTGGAGCAATGCTCTCAAAGCTAAGTCCCCAAACTAGTGTCATCAGCATTATTTGATAACTTGTAAGAAATGCAGATTTTTGAGCCCTATCCTCGACCTACTGAATTAGAAACTTTGGGGCAATCTATTTGAGCAAGCCCTCCAAGTGATTCTGTTGCATTATAAGGTCTGCAATCCCTAACTAAAGAAATATTGTAGTCCAGAAAAAGAAGGGGAAGGAAAGTGGTTAACAGACACTTTTTATACATGTGCCGATTACCTAAAAAGCTGAGTTACTAACTGGATTGCCTTAAATGTGTCTTTACAGGGGAATTGGCATGAGGGCTCATGGTATTTTGCCAATTTAGGATGATCAACCTTCCTGTTTGCCTATAACTATGCCAGCTTTAGCACTGAAATTCTTGCATCTCAGGAAACCTCTCAGTTCCAGAAAAACCAGGATAGCTGGTCACCCTATTTGCCTTGGGCATTTTGTATCTGGACCTAAGTGTGGCTGGAGGAAGCCTAGGACTACAGTTTGGATTCTCTTCTACTAAGAGAAAATTTTAAGGGAGGATTTATCATGAGATTCATTCAGGTGCCTTCATGCCCAATTCTTTGAATTTAGGGACAATGAAAAATATAGTCTAGGATGTGTAAGACATGTTACCAGTCTTTTCTAGTTATTCGCTACAGAGAAGTCTTGAATCCTCTTTATCCATAAAGGGTCCTGGGAACCTAACTTTAGGGCCTTTTACCCTAAAGGCCTGAAAACTTTGAAAACTTACACTATAAAATTCAGTTTACTCTTCTGCTGAAGCAAAAAACTTCAACTTCACATGTGTGACTGAAGCAGGAGAAACAGAGGAACAATACTTAGGTTCATTATTGTACCAAAGCATTGTTTGAGTGGTAGCAACTTTTTGGCAAAGGGGAAATGGCCTTCATTTATTTTTTATTTATCCATTCATTAAACATTTGCTGAGTATTACAGTAGTCCTCGCTATCCACATTTTCACTTTTCACAATTTCATTTACCCGCAATCAACTTTGGTCTAAAAGCAGGATCCTCCTTCTGCCCTATGGTTAGAAGGTCAGTAGTAACCTAACACTGTATCACAGTGCTTATGTCCTTCACCTCACTTCATCTCATCATGTAGGCATTTTATCATCACAAGAAGAAGGGAATGAATATAGTACAGTAAGATGTTTTGAGAGAGACAGAACACATTCACATAACTTTTATATACTGTTATAATTGTTCCATTTTATTATTAGTTATTTCTGTTCATCTCTTACTGTGCCTTATTTATAAATTAAACTTTATCATAGGTATGTTTGTATAGAAAAAACATAGTATGTATTGGGTTTGGTACTAACAATAGTTTCAGACATCCATTGGGAGTCTTGGAATATATCCCCCATGGATAAGGGGTGAGTACTGTTTGTGCAAGATTCTGAACTTGCATTGGGTATACAAGTGTACTATGTCTACATTCAAAGACCTCGCAGATATAATTGGGTGACAAAAGCATGTAAGAAAGAAAATAAAATTTTAGTTCCAACTATTTTAGTAGAGATAGGAACCAAGCTCTATGGAGTCCAGGAATGACCACTTTTGGTAAAGAGATTTCATATAGGGGTGGCATTTGAAATTGATCTTAAGAATTAAGAAAAGATTTACAGTTTTAAAAGCGTTGCTTTCTGAGTGGTAAGTCATGAGTGGAAGAGCCAAATTAAAAACTTCCCATCTTGAGAAAAATTTTATCAAAGACAGAAATTTCTGTTTTTTTAAATAAAATTGGACTGCAATATTTAGTCAGAAAATTTGTCATTTAATAATGTGAATTATAAACACAACCTCCTTCATTCTGAGAACTAGTAATGTAAAAGCTGGACTTCCTTACATTATGCTTTATTGCAAGAAGAAAAAACAACCCATCTCAGTACTTAAAAAATTATTTTCTCTTTGACATAGTATACTGTGTAAACAAAGTCCGATGGAGTATACTAGTTTAAAAAGGAAAAAATGGATGAGAAAACTGAGTTATCAGACAGTACTCAGCAGTATTGGCATGTCTGTCTTAAAAGAACCTTCACTAGAGCATCAACAGTATAACCATGTCTTTATCTGTACCAACCCGCATCACTGGTGAGGAGCTAATATAAAAGCAAATGTGATAGGGCACCTGGGTGGCTCAGTCATTAAGCATCTGCCTTTGGCTCAGGTCATGATCCCAGGACACTGGGATCGAGCCCCGCATCGGGCTCCCTACTCGGTGGGGAGCCTGCTTCTCCCTCTCCCACGCCCCCCTGCTTGTGTTCCCTCTCTCGCTGTGTCTCTCTCTGTCAAATAAATAAATAAAATCTTAAAAAAATGTGATAAAGAATTTTTTGCATCTGATATTATACATCCACATAATGCAGATTTCAATAACTCTCTCATGCTAACTTTACTTAAATGTACAAACAAGCTTTACTGAGTTATCAAATGACATCTCATTAAAATTGGCATTTGAGAATTGCATAGTGCCAGAGTTTAACTAAGTATGAAATCTGTTATTCTGAAATAATACACAAAGTCTTGAGTTATCAAAATTACACTGTGAGGGACATCTGGGTGGCTCATTCGGTTAAATGTCAGACTCAGTTTTGGCTCAGGTCATGATCTCATGGGTTGTGAGATCAAGCCCTAGAGTCCCACGTTGGGCTCCATGCTCAGCAGGATGTCTGCTTAAAGATTTCCTCCCTCTGCTCCTCCCCCCTCTTGCACGCACCTGGGTCTGTGCTGTCTCTCTCTCTCAAATAAATAAATAAATCTTTAAAAAAAATTACACTGTGTAACATTCTTATTCAAAGGGATAGTCTCCATTTGACAGTCACAGAAGTAAAAACACAGAAACAGATTATATAGAAGCAGATCTGAGCGTACATCTTTGCACTATTCAAAATTGACATGTTAATTTCAGCAAAATGGTACTGTCACTTTAAGCCAATTTAACAATTTTAATGTTACTGGTTATGAAAGTATTTAATGTATAAATTTGTTTTGGTTTTAGATTTGTATAAGAAACTATAAATGTAAGGAGTTTTACCAAATATTGTTTGTATATCTTTAAGCAAAATCATAAAAATTTGATTTGACAGTAAGATTCATAGATTTTTTCTTTCCTTTCAGAGAGACCTATTATTTAAGTTAAAGAAACATTCCTCCAGGTGCGGGAAAACGAGAGCTTGAATGAAGGGAGAAGTAAAGGGATAGAGATTCAGGGAGATATCTAACAATTTGTGTAAAATCAACAGAATTTCCACCTCTTTTAGGATATGGAGGGCAGACTAAAATGGAGAGAGATGAGAAGCAAGAGAACAGACTAACTGAACCACTATTATGTATTAGGACTGGGTCAGCTGGTAGGTCTATAGCAATGGAATGAAGAGGCTGTCATATCTTGAGTTCATAGAATACACAAATACCAACCTCATAAACAATTGCATTTCCATGTGACTCGTGCTACAATAGATCCAGGCTGGAGAATTTTAAGAATATGGAATAAAAGCACTTAACCTAGGTAGAGTGAGGGAAAAGGAGACCTGGGCAAGATTCAATTTTTATAGATGAAAAGAAATGCTTGATATCAGTGCTATTATTTAGCATTGTTCTAGAGGTCCTAGCTAGACAATAGTCAAGAAATATTGAGCAGGGTGCACCTGGGTGGCTCAGTCATTAAGCGTCTGCCTTCAGCTCAGGTCATGATCCCAGGGTCCTGGGATCGAGCCCCACATCAAGCTCCCTGCTCTGGGAAGCCTGCTTCTCCCTCTCCCACTCCCCCTGCTTGTGTTCCCTCTCTCGCTGTGTCTCTGTCAAATAAATAAAATCTTAAAAAAAAAAAAAAAGAAATATTGAGCAGGAAGAAATAAAATTATCATTTTCATGTGAAAATGTTGTCTACTTAGAAATTCTAAAGAAGGGACTCTAAAAAAGGACTAATTTGGGAGTTTTGCAAGGTTGCTAAATTGTAGGTAAATGTTAAGACATCAATAGCAGTAACCAATTAAAAAATATATTTTAAAAAGGTCCACTCAAAATAGGTACAAAATTATAGAGATATGTAAGAACAATATGAGAAAAACACTATAATAAAAGAAACCTGAATAAATAGGAGACAAAAGAAA